TGCCCAGAACCTCGATTAAGGGGCAAGTGCTCGTCGACTTTGTGGCCGAATTCACTGGATGCCTCGCCGACTATAAGTCTGATCAAATTCAACCTAAGCCGAATTGGAGAATTTATGTAGGCGACATTTGGCAGTTGTATTGTGACGGATTATCCAACCAACGTGGCAGTGGGGCGGGTGTAGTGATCATGGCTCCTGATAGGGCAATAATCGAGCAAGGAGTCAAACTCGGTTTTGAAGCATCAAACAACGAGGCCGAATATGAAGCACTACTAACTGGCTTACGAAATGCGCATCTCTTGGGTGCTCGGCGTCTGCTTATCTTTTGTGACTCAAAGTTGGTCATCAATCAGTTAAAAGGGGAATACGCGGCCAAAAACGACTGTATGACAGCTTACATGAAAACGGCGAGTTCCTTACTGGGAAAATTCGACCACCATGAATTGAACCAAATAGCCCGAGATCAGAACACACATGCAGACGCCCTCGCTTGCCTAGCCTCTACCATCAACTCAGAGATTAAACGGATAATTGAAGTGGAGTTCATCCCTAAACCGAGCATTGGCCCTTCAGAGTCAGTCCAGATCAATGTTGTAGAGTCAAGGCTGAGTTAGATGGACCCTATCGTTGCATTCCTATCTTCCGAACAGATCTCGACGAATAAGAAAGAAGCACACAAGCTGCAAAACAAAGCCCTGCGATATTACTTGGATCCGCAAGGAAAGCTCTACAAGAAATCCCTTTTTGGTCCATACTTAGAATGCGTTAATCTGGATAAAGTCGAGGAACTCTTGACTGAAATACATGAAGGTAGTTATGGAGCCCATTCTGGCGGACGCTCTTTGGCTCGTCGAGCTGTGACACAAAGATATTACTGGCCGGCAATGAGAGCAGATGCTGAGTGTTACATCAAGAAATGTGAACAGTGCCAGAAGTTTTCTCCTTTAACCCATTTGCCTGCTGAAGACTTAAGCTCTATAACTAGTCCTTGGCCGTTCGCTCAATGGCGACTTGACATCGTCGGACCGTTATCTCGTGCCCCAGGCAGCAAACGATTTTTGATTGTCACGACGGATTACTTCACAAAATGGGTCAAAGCGGAGGCACTAACACACATTCGAGATACAGATGTGAAGCGTTTTGTATGAAGAAATATCATAACACGATTCGGCTCGACATTCCAAGAGCACTTATTTCTGACAACGGCACCCAGTTTGATTGCGGCGTCTACCGAGAATTGTGTAGCAAGTATGGTATTTGGCCCTACTTCTTCACCCCGGCCTATCCACAGAGCAATGGTCAAGCTGAAGCCTCTAACAAAACCATTTTGGACGGCATCAAGAAGAGGTTGGAGAAAGCGAAAGATAGATGGGTCGAAGAACTGCCGAGTGTGTTGTGGGCTCATCACACTGCTCCGAGGCGATCCACAAAGGAAACACCATTTGCTTTATGCTTCGGAACCCAAGCAATCATCCCTCTGGAGATCGGCCTCCTAACCTTGAAATCAAAAGTTTTTGATATGGGCCGAAATGACATGATGCTAGCTCTGGATTTGACTCTGATTGAAGAACAAAGAGACTGTGCCCTAGCATCCGTGACGTGGTACCAGCAGCAGCTTGCTAAGTCGTATAATCAGCGAGTTCAGCTACGCCACTATGCACCAGGAGAATTGGTCTTGAAGAAAGTACTTCCAGCCGCTAGGAATCCGGCTAACGGAAAATTGGGTCCCAATTGGGACGGCCCCTATCAGATTGAGTCAATCGCCGACATAGGGGCATATCGGCTCAAAGACATGTCTGGGAGAAGTCTACTATGTCCTTGGAATTTCACGCATTTGCGTAAATTTTATCATTAACCCGGCATGTGGGGCATGATGACTTGTTTTGAGTGTTCGCTGTGTACAACTTTCACTTTTATAATAAAACGACTTCTTATCTCATTATATGGAATTTTTGTTTGAAGTAAAAGCCTCTGGATTCGGAGGGCCGTTCGTGGATGTCACGATTGGCCAAGTCAAAAGCCTCCGAATTCGGAGCCCCATTTGTGCATGACACGTTTGGGCCGAATAAGCCTCTGGATTCGGAGCACCCTTTGTGGATGTCACGATTGGCCCAATCAAAAGCCTCCGAATTCGGAGCCCCATCTGTGCATGCCATATTTGGGCCGAATAAGCCTCTGGATTCGAAGCGCCCTTCGTGGATGTCACGATTGGCCAAGTCAAAAGCCTTCGAATTCGGAGCCCCATCCGTGCATGACACGTTTGGGCCGAATAAGCCTCTGGATTCGGAGCGCCCTTCGTGGATGCCACAATTGGCTAAGTAAAAGCCTCAGAATTTAGTGCCCCATCCGTGCATGACACGTTTGGGCCGAATAAGCCTCCGGATTCGGAGTGCCTTTCGTGGATGTCACAATTGGCCCAGTCAAAAGCCTCCGAATTCGGAGCCCCATCCGTTCATGACACGTTTGGGCCGAATAAGCCTTCGGATTCGGAGCGCCCTTCGTGGATGCCACGATTGGCCAAGTAAAAGCCTCTGAATTCGCAGCTGTATCCGTGCATGACACGTTTTAGCCGAATAAGCCTTCGGATTCGAAGTGTCCTCCATGGAATTCACGATCGGCTAAGTTTGAGCCTTCGAATCCGGAACCCCATCCTAGCAGGATTGAGTAAGCGTTCGGCTTCGATACGCTTTTCATGAATATTCTGATTAACAAGCACCAACTCAGTTGAAGGATGGAAGATGATTCTTAACATGTTTAAACATAAACTAAAACAACATGCAACATAAGCTGAAACAACATGCAAACATGTAAAGATAATATGTTTTATTGAATTAATCGATAATTCATAATTCGCTCCCAATTTACGTCAGAGCGGTACATTGTGTTTAATTTTATTCGGCGTCCCCCTCGTCATCACTCTTCTCGACTTCGAAGGCCGCAAAAGGAAAATAATGACTCTGGTATAATAGCGACGCTGAATCAACGCCTGCTACCCGGAGAGACTTTGTGGCCTGGAGAGCCTTAATCCACCCGTGTTTAAATCCATGGTTCTCACATCGGTAGACCTCCTCGGCGAGCTTTTTCTTCGTCTTCTCAATCCCAACTTTTCGGCCCGCATGGAAGCCTTGTTCATAAGCCCGGGTCTTTGCAGCTTCTATTGCAAACATGCTTGCCATGTTGCGATCGGCAATCGCGTGACTTATAAGACGCTGGGTCACCCTTTCATCTATAATCGGGTTAGATAGGCCGGCCGACTGAGTTTCGGCGGTCTTGGCTTTTTTTAAATCCCGCTCGGCTTTCTCCGTGCGGGCCTCTAAACTACGAATGCGTTCATCTTTCTGTTCGATCTCCCGCCGCGCGGCACGAAGGCGCCTGCCAATCTCGTAAGCGATGTATAGTCCTTTAACCGCTCCGTGAACGCCCTCTTGAAACACTTCAAAATCTTGTCGACCAATCATCGACTGTTGGACCTCTGGCGAAAAAATCCGTCGTGCAAATTGGACTGCCACGCTTGGATCTCGGATGACCGAATCTGCTTTCGTCATCGATTTGTTCCCAATAAAGACTGAAAAACTCAACGGGCGCGGAGGCCCACTGACCTCGCTTCATGAATGAGGGGAGTTCCCCTACTGTCACTTCTCCTTTCTAGGTGACCTGCTTCGACGATGTGGAGAGTGACACCTTTCCCGCTCCCCAGACGCCCTAGTTCCCGTTCGTGAAGGTTCGCCACCTCGATTCATCGCTGAGTCCAGCTTAGCCAATGTCCTACCCTCTCCTCTGCTGTTGAAGAATAGTCTACCTGACATTCACACTTAGCTAACCTTCTTCGACAAACTGGTTTGAGTTGAGTCTTAGCACGCTAATGGGACCTACACGCACGAAGCAACTCCCTTTTTATTAACCACAGATGCACCGCTTCCAAAGCAATCCCTTCAACGTTGCCCCAGCCAAATCATAAATGACTGATAATCGGCGGCAACGTTCACTGATCCACTGGGACAAGGGCAGATTAATTAATCTATTTGGCCTTACGTAAGTCATTGTGCCGAACAGACAGGCTGTCCCATCCAATTCATGAACGGCCGATAATCGTTACCCACCACTAATCCGCTGGGGAAAGAGCAGATTCATCAATCTATTCAGCTTAAATACCATAGCTTCTAGCCGAATATCCACGGTGCCCCAACAGAGTTTTAACCTGCCGTTTTTTGGAGGTCTTATTCATTAATTAGGTGGTCTCGTTCAAACCTGCTGGGGCAAGGGCAGATTCGTTAATCTATTTGGCTTAAATATTAGAGCTTCTAGCCAAATATCCACGTTGCCCCAGCAGAGTTTTGACCTGCCGTTTTTGAGAGGTCTTATTCATTAATTAGGCGGTCTCGTTCAAACCTACTAGGGCAAGGGCAGATTCGTCAATCTATACGGCTTAAATATCAGAGCTTCTAGCCGAATATCCACGGTGCCCCAGCAGAGTTTTGACCTGCCGCTTTTGGGAGGTCTTATTCATTAATTTAGCGGTCTTGTTCATCAACTTGCTGGGGCAAAGACAGACGCATCTTATCCATTCGGTCTTATTCATTAATATACATTGTGCCCCAGCACATCCCTGAACTGCCGTCCTTTGTTAGTCCTTATCAACCTGCTGGGGCAAGTGCATATTCACTAATATACTCGGCTAAGTTGCAGTGCTATAGAGTTATTCGTGAGCTGGATTGATTCTGCAGTCCGTTTCATTCATTTCATGATTTTATATCTTACTTAGCCGTTCACAAGCACATTCATCAGGCAGAAAGGCAAAAGTAATTTTCATTCATAAACTGAGCACAAACAAAAGTCATCTTACAAATGAAAACTACCCTACATCAGTTTCTGAAAAAACCTAATAACTCTAACAACCTACGTACACTCAATACCAAAAACAGAATGAAAAAATACTTGACTATAGGTCAGTTGTCAGGGTCAGACACCAGCGGCTCAATGTCTACCTGCGCGTACGGAATCTACTGATCCAATACCACGTTAGTGGCAGCCAAGGCTTTGAGCCAACCGTGTTTGAACCCCCTATTTTCAAACTTCGGCACTGCCTCTACATAGTCCGCCAAGGTAGCATCTTTGCCTTTCTGGAAAGCCTTGGAAATCTCAGACTCGGCGTTTGCCATCGCCGTCTTTGACTCTTCCGAGTCGGCCTCTAGCTTGGCAATTGTCTCATCGGCAGACTTGAGCACTTCTTCGCTGGCATTCGCCCTTCCCTCGGTGGCCACTCTTAGTTCGTCAGCGGTCTTAGCCTTATTTTCTTCGGCATTGGCCCTAGCTTTCTCTGCTGCCGCCGCTTTCATGGCCTCAGACTTGGCTCGGAGAGAGGCCTCTGCTGCCTTAACCCTCTCGATTTCCAACTCGGCTGTAAGAAAGTCGATCTGTTCGATAGCGTCATATTGGCGACGGCCAATTTCAGCTATCCTCCCCACCGCCTGCAAAACAAGGGATCAATAAGCTAATATAAAAACTTTCTTTTGGGTTAACCTCGCAAAATTATAAAGGGGCACGTACCAGTATCGCCGATTGAGCGGCTAAAGTGATGGCTAGCAGATCGGCCTCTGCCTTAAAAGCTGCTCTGTCAACCGGCAGAGAAATGGAAGACGCCAAGCTCAAGGCCACGGCTAGGTCTCTTATAGCTGATGCATCAAACAGAACCGACATGTTCCTTATCCTTGGTTGTATTGTAAACGGCACAACCAAGTCAGATTCATCCATGCGTGGCCGTTTATCAATCAGTTCTTCCGAATAATCGGCCTCGTGCTCGGTCGGGCGTTTTTTCCTCCTTTGCTCCGTCGCTTGACTGTCTTGTTGATCGACAACAGGTTCCATTTCGGCCACTTCGATCTCAACCTCCTCAACAGGAGTAGGTAGAGGAGTTTCTTCCCTAACGTTGGGTAGAGGGGGTGGAGGTTAGTTTCACTCGGCTTCGGCTCTCCTACGCGTAACCATCCTCTCGGCTTTTTTCTGTCTGGCCAATTGAGTGAGCGACTCACCAGCCATGTTGTCAGAATACGAGCCGGGTAGGTCCCCTAAGTCGGTAAAAGTATCCTCGAAGGACATGTCCGCTCGGTCGGAAGTAGATGGAGGATTGAGGCCGACTTCCTCAAAACCAAAATTTAGTGCCGTGTCAACCTCCTCTAGTTTGTCGAATCCGTCCAAAGATGGCTTATTCAACTCCTCTTCGCCTACTTCGGCAACTTGTTCCGCCGCCGGCTCTGAATCTGAATCCTCAAAACCAATCTGCCTAAGATTCTTGAAACTCAGAAAAACAAGCGCCGTAAGGTACTACTCGCCCCTTGGAATCGGGATATGTTCTACCACCGAAAAAGTGGTATAGGTCGGCTCGTATCGCAGAAGAATGTGGGCCGCCCTCCCTTGTTTCTGGAGATTCGGACGGCCAACGAACTGGAGTACCGTTCTGATCTGTGCAAGTACGGTGTCGTCGGCCGAAACTAGAACTTTCTTCAAGTTGTTTCTTGCACAATTAAAACGGTAAATACCTGGAATTTGAATAGAAAATATTTGGTAACGGCCACCTGGTTCGTCCCTTCGCCTGGGCACTGGATCTTGGCGATCTTCGCCCTCGCCAAATTCCCAGTTTCCACGAACCACAACCATAACATCGTCAACTCGTTTGCCAGAGCTGGCAAGCATAGTGACCAAGTGATGGTCAATGTCCTTGGCCCTAAAAAAGTAGCGCCCCTTCCGGCCAGAGGATTTGTCCAAGGCATAACAATGCCGAGTGGCAAGGACTCTAAGGTTAAGCTTAAGGCACCAGTTTAGTTCAATAATACCCATTATTATTTGGAAAGAGTTTACGTTCGGCTGAGAAGGGATTAAACCCCAATAACGAAGGACAACCCTTAAAAGTAGATGAAGGGGGAAATGAACTCCGCCCTCCGCGATTAACAGGAGAGGAAAGACGATTGTACTCTCATCAGTCCTCTACGTATCAATCACGTTCTCTGTCAAAAGTGACAGATGAACGTCGTTAGGGATAGAAAAGTGGCGACAGAAACCAGAGACTCGCTTTGCAGAAAGAAGGGCTCTCAGATGTTTAGCCATCACAGCATGAAAAACGGACACTCTACACAGCAAGCAAACAAAGAAAAAGGAGTCGAGGTGGAAGAAAGAGAAACTTACAAAAAATGAGGAAGACAATGAAGAGCGGAAAAAAGTTACAGAAGGCGAGAAGTGAGGAAGTTGAACTGACAGGCAATGAGAAATCTTGAGCATTCAAGAAAGAACATACAGACAAAAAGACAACGTGGTTTCAAATCGTATTAAATGAATGAAATGTACGAAGGGGCGGGAAACTGTAATGATGCTCAAAAGTAGTAGGCGCCCTGACGCTTGCATTGAAGTAAGGGATACTGCTGTATTTTCTGACTCTCTAGGTCCAAGGATCAAACATGCCGACTAACTAACGTTAATAGGATGTTTGGGAGGCAATTGTGGGGGCCGAATAGATTCTATTACGCATGGAGGCCGAATAGATTGAAGAGAGAAACCAAGTTGTGAATTACACGGCTCCATCCCGGAGGGATAAAGGCCGAATAACAAGATCAGCCGAATAATCAGCTGTTGACCTGGCCGAGTACGAACAGTTAGCCGAACGAGGGATTATTCATTGGAAGAAGAGTGGGCCTAACCGTCAACATCAAGGACGACTATAAATAATGAGAGTGTCAGCTAACACAGGGTATATGAGAACAAGTAAGTATAACTTGAGATATAAGCAACCAGGAGAGGAGATACTGACTTATCCGTCGGAGTGCTAATTCCGACACTCCTGACCGGAGTGTTCATTCTTTTTCAGGTAACTAGCTTAGGATCACGAGCACCCTCCAGGATCAAAAGAGTATTTTTGAACCACTTCTCCACAATATATATTGTATTGATTTTTGTAATCAAACAATCTCTCTCATTTCTTTAATCCATTCTTTGAATACAGTGAAGGCTGTCAAACAATTTTAAGACAGATCATTTTTGTGTCTTCATTGTATTAATAAAATTATTGTGTTGTATATTATTTTTCTGGTTTTAGTAACTAGAAAAGTAAAATTATTTTTGTTTTATAACTTATTTTCTAGTTTGAGTAACTAGAAAATTAATTTGAGTTCTGGTTTTGGTTTTTTCTGATTGTTTCTAATCAGATATTATGGCTATTGAAAGTAGTACTACAAATCCGATTGTTACAACGAATCCGATCCTTACCCAAAAACCAAGTTCAAGTTCCAATGAGTCGTGGAGAAAAATCGAAAAAATTTAATGGCACCGAGTTTAAGAGATGGTAGCAGAAAATGCTGTTCTATCTTACGACTCTGAATCTTGCTCGGTTTCTCCGTGTAAAGACTCCAATGCTTAAAGAGGATGAAAGTGATCGGCAAGTTGTTGCTGCTGTAGACGCCTGCAAACATTCTGATTTTCTGTGCAGAAACTACATCCTTAATGGCCTAGACAACATACTGTATAATATTTACAGTCCTCTGAAAACAACAAAAGAATTATGGGATTCTTTGGAGAGAAAATACAAGACAGGATGCCGGCACAAAGAAATTTGTCGTCGATAAATTTCTAGATTTTATTATGGTGGACTCCCAAACGGTAATTTCTCAAGTTCAAAGTTTTCAATTAATTTTGTAAGATATTCATGCTGAAGGTATGTCTCTTAGCGAGTTTTTCGAAGTTGCTACATGGAAAAATTAACATTGGCTTGGAAAGATTTCAAAAATTATTTAAAATATAAACGCAAAGAGATGACCATGGATGAACTTATTGTAAGATTGAGAATTGATGAAGATAACCGTAAGACTGAAAAGAGGAATGGTAAAAATCCCATTGAGTCCAAGGCTAATGTAGTGGAACAAATGCCCAAACCACATAACAAAAAGAGGAATTTTGCTGGAGATGGTCCTAAACAAGGCAACAACAATGGCAATAAAAAGTTCAAAGGAAAATGCTATAACTATGGCAAGATCGGACATCGTGCAACTGATTGCCGCCGCCTTAAGAAGGATCGCGGAAGTACAAGCAAAAAGACCACCAATCAAGCTAATGTAATAGAAGTCGATTACATTTCTGACAGGGTAAATGACATAAATCTCTCTACTGTGATGTCTGAGGCTAATTTGGATAGAAATCCCAAAGAGTGGTGGGTCGACACTAGGGCAACTCGACACATTTGCGTGGACAAAAAGATGTTCACTACTTATAAAGAGGCTGCAAATGGTGAACAATTATTTATGGAAAATTCATTTACTTCTGCTGTGGCTGGACAAGGGAAAGTTTTCTTGAAGATGACATCAGGCAAGAAACTGACCCTCAACAACGTGTTGCATGTACTAGACATCCGAAAGAATTTGGTTTCTGGTTCTTTGCTAAGTAAAAATGGTTTTAGGCTTGTATTTGAATTTGATAAATTTGTATTAACAAAGAGTGGTGTGTATGTGAGTAAGGGATACATGAGTGATGGTCTCTTCAAGTTAAATGTAATGACTTTTGTACCAAAATCTGTTATGAATAAGACTAACACATCTTTTGCTTATATTCTTGAGTCAAATTTATGGCATGGTAGATTAGGACATGTGAATTTTGATGCTTTGCGTAGACTAATTGGTTTGGATTATATACCAAAGTTTGAAATTGATCCTAATCACAAATGTGAAATATGTGTATAAGCAAAACTAACTAAGGCTCCATTTAAATCGGTTGAAAGAAAAGCTGAACCCAAGGTTTAAAAATGCGGTGTTATGTAACGGTTTCGGCTGTAGGCACTACACGTTACCCCCGATTTTGCGGTGTGATTGAAATTCACAGGTGTATCGGCCGTTACGGCCGTCGTATCGGTCGTAACGGTGATGTAACGGCCGTAACGGCCCGTTACGCACGTTACAGGGCTTCTTTAGCTTATTCTTTTCTCAAAAAAAAAAAACAAAAGAAAAAGGCTGAAGATAGATTCTATATTGTATCGGACATCCACAAATTTTCAAAAAAAAAAACAAAAGAAAAGGCACGTTACGCACCTTTATTATAATGGAGCTTTTGTCGGTTGTCTTTACAGACCATGAACCACTTTGAATTGAAGTGAGATTCCACAAATTTTCAGATCTGATTTGAAATACAGATGAGTAAGGAGTGAGAAATAGAGAGAGAGAAGAGAGAAGAGGGAAGAGGGAAGATGGAAGAGATGAACCTGTCTTGAATCTTCAAGGCTGTTGAAACCAGTGACTGCCCCTTTGTGTGGAAGACGAAGTAAGTTCAAAATTTGATCTGTTGCCTTGCCTTTCTTTATCAAATTTTGTTTGCTGAGTAGCTTAGCTTCGTGGGGAAGATAAGCCCCCTTTCTTTATCAAACCCTGTATATATAGAGCTTAGCTTCGTGGGGAAGATAAGCCCCCTTTCCAACAATGATCACAGCCTTTAAATTTTGTAAAATCTATAAAATTTATATGATATATTTAATAATTTTGATTTAAATATATATATAGAGCTATGCACTTATTTTTAGTATTTTATATATAATAATTAGTGATTGATTTTTCTTTTTTATAATATCTAAAAATCATAACACATTTAATTATATGAATACATTTTATATATGTCAGTTTTTATTGATTTTTTTTTTCTTGCAGGTTATTCAAAAAGATAACAAATACTCAAGTGATTGAAGCCCAAAAAACAACTATGTAAGAATTTTTTTCTTTATAATTTATTTTTTAATTTTTATATGATTACATTAGCATGTAAACTCCAAATGTATAAATAGTGGTTACATTTTTTTTATAATCATTTCATTTGTTTTTTTTTTTCAACGGTATAATCATTTC